CCAGCAGACACGTTAGTCCAAGCATCTACAATCCATCCGCAAACGGTGGCGTAATCTGCCCGGCGCTGCCTTCCACTTTTCGTCAAACCACATGGTCTCCTCACATACACCTGCCTCAGCCACGCTTTCATCATCTCCTCATCCATCCAGCCTTTTTCATTTAATATCATATGTCATCAGAGCGATGTGTCTGTCTTGCTGTCAGCTCCCAGATCAGCTTCTCTGATTGGTTGATGCGGCGCTTCCAGCAGCAAAACTTCAATTTTTCCATCTCGAGCTGCAGCAGCGCGTTGGCGGCGCGCTCCCGACGCACTGCGCCTGCTGCTCAAAACGCGCTGCGAGACCTTTTGCTGCGCCTATACGCGCGTCAACCATTGACTTTGCATGTAAACTCGCTGCTTCTGCTGCACCTGCTCCATCCGGTTCACACCGATGTCCAGCGGTTGAATAACAGCGAGCACAGCGTTAATTTGTTTCCCCATGTTTTTCACATCAGCTGTGAGATGGGCACGCATGGAGTTACATATTAACAGCGATGGTGATGAGTGGAAAAAAAACACCTGGTCTCCTTACATTCAGCCACTCTTTCATCATCTCCTCAATGAGGTGGTCTCAAAAGTCGCAGTTGCAACACACATAGGGCGCACCGCACCATAGGGCGCACTGCACATTTTGAGGGGAAAAAAAGACGTTTATGTGCGCCTTATAGTCGTGAAAATACGGTAACAAATGTTTGGACTTTTGACACCACTGGTTACTGCAGATTCAAAGTAAATAGTTGTCAAAGTTACAATGCATTCAGCTTTTATCTTTTAAAATGTTGAAAAATTTGTATAACTTTCCTGTTATCAAAACTTTAAAAAAAACTAGCAGATCATTATAAAATATAAAAAAAAATGATATTAATTGTTCAATCAATTAAATTACTTCACACCTGAAGGCAATGATACTACGCTGCATTATTGTGGTGTGTCTGAGGTTAGGCAAGTGAGCTGCAACAAATTCATGAAGACATTATTATTTCTTTTGTTTATAACAAAGGGACAATAAAGTTAATTTGATGTTTTTGCGAGTTGCAAAGCTTCAACTGGATATAAAATAGATATGAGGCTGAAAAATAATCTTTTCAAGCAATTCAGCAAAAAATAACATATACTTTGCAACATAATTTAATGAAGGTCAAAAAAGTGAAACAACACAGAGTAAAGAGCAACATATGGGGAGCAGCAGTCAGTCAGTGTTGATACGATGTGAGGAGCTTCTTTAGACCAGATTTGCTTCTAACTGATGTGGATTAAGTCTTGTGTTCTCACACATAATGAGCAAATCATGAATAAAATTTTTTTTCATTGTTTTAGATCTTTGAAACATCAGCAAAATGTATTATTTTATCAGTTCTTATCACACAGAAGGTTATATTTATTGGTCATTTGCTCTTCCTCTTGATTTAATATACTTCTGCGACACAGCAGCGTTAGGTCCGATAGCCCAATATTCTCCTGACAAACTACAACCCCTGGAATAATAAAAATGGAATCACTGGAGGATCGTCATTCAGTTGTTTGATTTTGTAGAAAAAAAGCAGGTCACAGACATGACTAAAAACTAAAGTCCTTTCAAATGGAAACTGTCAAGCTTTAAAAAAATTGCATTTTTTTCTGTTTTAAACTAAAAAAAACATGTTCTTTCCAAAAATAATGGAACAGAATTAAATTCATATTTTTGAAAATGTCCTGTTTGAAGCTTCATCGTGTTGAGGTTGGTCAATTTTTAAATAAACATTTTGATCTCATGAGGCCAAAACATAAAAAGCATGATGATGAAGAGGAGGAGGGATGTCTGAACAAGGATAACTATAATAACTATAATATCTCCATTTTGCGCTTAAATAGCCGCAAGTTGTGCAATGAACTGAAACATCAAACAGCTGGAGATATACTGTGTGCAGAATTATTATGCAAATGAGTATTTTGACCACATAATTCTTTTCATACATGTTGTCCTACTCCAAGCTGTATAGGTTTTAAAGCCAACTACAAATTAAGTAAATCAGGTGGTGTGCATCTCTGTAATGAGAAGGGGTGTGGCCTAATGACATCAACACCCTATATAAGGTGTGCTTAATTATCAGGATACTTCATTTCCTTTGGCAAAATGGGTCAGAAAAGGGATTTCAGGATATCTTTCAGAGGGGTGCAGAAGTTTGGAAATTGTCAAGTTTTTGAAGCGGGGTCACCCCACAATCAAGCGGTTCATGGGAAATAACCAACAGGGGCGCAAGAAGCGTGTTGAAAAAAGAAGACGCAAAATAAATCCCCATGAATTAAGAAGGATCAAGCATTAAGCTGCCAGGAAGCCATTAGCCATAAGTTGTGCCATATTTCAGAGCTGCAACATTTCTGGAGTGCAGAGAAGCACAAGGTGCTCAATCGGTCTCCGCCAGTCACCTGACTTTTGTTGCTAAGACGCCATTTTAGGTGGAAAAGGCGTAGTGTAAACAACCGCAGCATAGCTAAACGAAGGACTAACCCCTTGCTCACACTGGCTCCGGTGCGGTTACCGAGCCGACGGAGACCGAAACTCCCGCACACCCCCTCTCACACCGCCCTTTTGACTACGGTGTGGTGCGGCAACAGGCAACAGGTCCGGAGATTTAACTCGCGAGAACAGAAGTTCACTTGAGTTTACGTAACTTCCCGCGATAACACGGCCCAAATAAGGATATTTGCGAGAGCTTGTTGCGGAGGGCTCCGGCACGCCGCAAGGATAGCTTTCTTGCGGAATTTTCTGCAGCGCCGGAGTGTCTCGGTAACCGCAGCCGGACAGCTCAGCAGCCGGTGAGAGAGGTTTACGTCTTTTTAATGACTTGGAATCACTGCGGCGTCGCACCCACCGCACCGCAACGGTAAGACCGGAGTCGGTGTGACCGGGGGTAAAGGCCCGTTAACATAGCAGCCTCTCCAAGATAAGTCATCACAGTTAACATAAGCCTGAAAACAGGGGCGTATTTAGGAAAATCGGTCTCCGCCAGTCACGTGACATTTGTTGCTAAGACGCCATTTTAGGTGGAAAAGGCGTAGTGTACCGCACCCGAGGTAAACAATTGAAGTCACTTGGCGGAGACCGATATTCAGGGACCTGGCCAAGGTAAGGAAAGCAGAAAAAAGGCCACCTTTGAACAAGACACACAAGACAAAACGTCAAGATTGGGCCAAGAAATATCTGAAGACTGATTTCTCCAAGGTGTTTTGGTCTGATGAAATGAGAGTGAGTCTTGATGGGCCAGATGGATGGATTGGCACCAGGCTGGATCAGTAAAGGGCAGCGAGTTCCTTATCGACTCAGGCCCCGTCCCCACGAAGCCGAACCCTGGCCTAAAAACACACAAATTTTTCACCAAACCAGCCTCTCATCCATACGAAGCCGGCGTTTCGGGGGTCTGTAAACGATCTTTTTTTTATTCAGCCTTCAGAGTGGGAAGATTTTGAAACGCCGTTTTCTCATTTCCATCTTTAAGCTCTAATCGCATTTTTTTTTTTTACACGCATGCGTCATAGCGTCGCCTCTAAACACGCATGCGCGACACAGTATCACAACAACGATGGCGCTGTACTGTGTTGAATGGTTGCTGCTAATGCTACTCACCCTGCTGTCGGGCTTACAACAGAATCTGCTTCTTCTGGAATATCTCCAGGAAGAACAGAGCAATATCGACGACATAGTTCAGCACCTGAATTTGACTGAACCATGAAAATGGACCCGCATGGCAACCATGTATAAATATTAGTGCGCATGCCCAACATTTCGTCGCCTATTTTGCTTTGGCACCACAGCGCCACTTACAGGCCTGGCATACATTTTGCAGCATTTTCATGCATTCGTGTGGACGCTCACATTTATTTTACTTCTCCGTCTTTACGACAAACGTTCTGGAAAATATTAGCGTTTCGTGTTCGTTTTGACTTCGTGTGGACGGGGCCTCAGACGCCAGTAAAGTGGAGGTGGGGTACTGGTATGGGCTGGTATCATCAAAGATGAGCTTGGGGGACCTTTTTCGGGTTGATGATGGAGTCAAGATCAACTCCCAGACCTACTGCCAGTTTCGGGAAGACACCTTCTTCAAACAGTGGTACAAGAAGTAGTCGCCATCATTCAAGAAAATCATGATATTTAATATTCATTGAATGTTGCAAATTTTTATTTCTGAATTTTGAGTTATATTGGTTTATCTGGTGTAAATAAACAAGTGAGATGGGTATATATTTGTTTTTTTATTACGTTGCTTAATAATTCTGCACAGTTATATTTATCTGCACACACAGACATCCTCATAGAATGGCCAAATCTAAAAAAGAACAAAAAAACACATCAACTTCCAAAAATTTTAAACTTTGATATTAAGGAGTCTTTTGGGTTGATTGAGAACACAATTGTGGCCAGATAACAAAAATAATCCTCAAAAATACAACTTGCCTAATAATTCTGCATACAGTGTATTAGTTGAAAGTTTAAGGTAAGGTCACATTAATTTAACCATATAAAGGTTCTAATTTATTTTAGGTTCGCTGAAAGCTTTCAAATCTTAAAACATTTGGTAAAATAGACGTTTTCTACAGTTCAAATGTTTTAAATGGAAGTTAGCTAATTTGCATGATCAAAGAAAAGTATGTGATCTTAATAGTGTCAGCTGTTTTGGTGCATGTGGTTGTGGGGGACTAATAAAAGATCTTAAATGAGTGTAATAAAAACCTACAGTCAGTTGTAAAAAAAAAAAAAGCAATGATATAAATTGATATTAGCTGCTTCCCATTAACACATCAAGAACTCTGGAAGCTCTAACTGAACTCCTAATAATCTCTATGAACAATGCTTATCTTTCAAACATACCACTGAATTGATGATGTTGTTAGTTAACACCAATAAACCAGGTGCTGCTGATGATGATCTGAGATTGAAGTTCCCAGAATCTCATGAGCTAGCAGACAGATCAAAGCCTTTACCTGACTGACGGTCCTGTATACAGTAGTCTGGCGAGTCTTCCAGGTAGACCAGGTCATTTTTGGTGGGGCGTTTGAAGTGTGTGTGCGTAGCTGTAAACCCGGTTCCATACTGATTGACTGCGACCTGCACAGCACCGTTGTATCGCCTCCTCAAGTGGTCACCAGTGCGTCTGAAGTCGGCCATAGCCTGCCAGCAGGTACGGACGCTGCAGGAGCCACTAACTCCGTGACATTTACACTGCAAAGTCATAAAGCGCTTCACTGCCTGTGAGGAAAAGGGAGAGATGTTTAGGTACAACTGTCTGACAAAAAATGTAACCATTTTTTTTTTTTTTTTATTGTTTGATCTCCAAGCTGTGTTATGTCTAAATATTTCTGTCCTTACCTTCCTGCCTGCTCTGTTGTTGTGCAGGTTCATGAGTGCTCGGGCATCCCTCTCCTTCCTCTCCTTGGCATCCACAAAGATTTGGCTAAATTGAATGGCATGCTCCACATGATCGCTGCAGCCTCCCCAGTCGAAGGAGCCCTTGGAGTCCTGCGATGACCCCTTTTTAGTGGGGTCACAGGAGCAGCTGTCCAGCTCACCCTGGCTGCAAGCTCGCGCCAAAGTGTAGACCACTCCTGCAGAGGAGATGGCGTACACAAAGGCAACTTCTCGACTGCCTAAATAAAAACATTGAAATCGGAATCAAGAATGAGCATTGGGTAGAGGGACCGTTAAAACCTTTGTAAAATCAGTGGTTTTACTACGTACTAGGGCTGAAACAACTGGATTTATAGATTATTGAAATAATTATCAAATATTCTGGAAATCATATTGTGAACTTAAGAATACAGAGTATTAAAAGGTGCAATTTGCCGAAAGAATAACCCAAACAGAGCAGTAATTAGGCTAATTTTGTAAAAAGAAAGAAAATAAAAGAACATTTTCAATTGAAAATGTAAAAAAAACAAATGTTTTTTCCACGTAAATATGCTCCATCAAAAATTCATCCGGGGTAGTCTTCGCTTCACCCGATAAAAAAAAACAAGCAAGGAAAATCTATTATTTACCTTATTCTACACTATTATTAATCGTTAGACTCTTGTTATCTAAATTGCAATTTTAGGAAAAACATTTTTCAGTTTACAATTCAATTAAAATGTGCAGAAAATATTTGATTACTAAGGCTTGTTAATGTAGGAATATTTGATCAACAGATTAATTTATTACTAAAATAATCACATCTTAATATTCACTGCGTAAGTCTAGATAGGTCAAGATTTTTTGTTTTACATCATTAAACATCATACTCCTACTAGTTTCTGATAATTATTACCAGATTTCAGATTGCTACTGTCATTTCAAACATGTCCCAACACAAACCTGCTTATGTCAGAGTTGCACCACAACAACCTGAACTGTCACTCAACTGTTTGGCTACTGATGAAACTGTTTCAGGTCCATGTTTGTTGTTTTCTGCCAAAAGCTTTCATGCTAGGTTACAAAGCATGAAACAGAGAAAAAAAATACTTAATCTCTTTCCAACATGCATAAACATTTTAGGCTGAACGAGCAATACCCTCATACTTCGCCCTCATCTCCTCCACATGCGCACCAACCGAAAAGAGATGTAGGTGAGATCAAGAGCTTAGGGAATGAAAGGCGGCATGTCTTTACTTAACCTCTAATACCTCTGTCAAAGAGGGAGTTTGGGAGATTAGTTTTATTTTTATTAAATGTTTTCATACATTAAATGTCTTAAAATGTAACAAAATGGCTGAAGTTTATACCCCTAATAAGGAAAGATTAAGTTGAAAGTGGCGTTCTGATGAGGTATGAGGGACAGCAAATATATGCAGTGGATAAGATTTGTTTTGTTATAGCCCTGCTTTGCCAAGCAGTTAGCAGGGAAATTAATCTCTGTTTCATCAAAGTAAAGAATAAAATGTAAACCTCCTTAAGTAGGAGATTTCATCTCAGACTCTTCATTCAAAATCTTAAGTATTCCTTTAACTACCTGCTTTCTATGCTTTTAATTACTGAAAGGTAAGAGACCGGGCAGGATTTTGAATTTACATGTCGCTAAATAAGATTCCCAGTAAAAGGCCTGAGATATGGAGGTCTACTTCATGCTGCAAAAGGTACTTCAGTGCATGAGTTGTTCTATAAGAAAGGATGCAGAAATGTGGTGAAAAAGGTGAACAAATAGATGACCATAGTATTTCTTTTCTCTTTAAATATAAAAACCCTAAAAGTGTTTAAACTACAATCCACAAAGAAATTGAGCCTGGAGGTAAATCTGCTCCATTTCTTACCAGTGGCGGCCGGCCCATAGGGGGCGCTGGGGCACCGCCCTCCCTGATAAGAAGAGAGAAACGTAAAATATATTTTTAGAAATTAACTCATAAATGTCAGTTTTACTCTCTAGACTGTGTAACTATAAGCAAAACAAATTATATAAACTACATTTCCTATCTACTGTCATTAATTTGTGGATTTCCACAGACAGACTCCTACCGTCTCTGTTCTGGGGGCTGTGATCAGACTGACCCACATTTGCAGAGAATCTGTCAATCATGTACTATTGCTAGGTGAATTTAATGGCCAATCAGCGTCTCGGAACTTTATGGTCTTGGGGTGCTGAAAATACTGCGCTTTTACAGGCTTCTCTTCTGAACCCAAGCGCAGGTGCAGACAATTAGAGGGATGATGGCGAATGTAACGAGCGAGATGCAGCTTCCACCAAATTCGGTGAGATCCTTATTTATCTACCCGTTTGCCAGAAGAACATCCCTGTTGTATGATATGAACATTTCATTTCATGGTTATTGTGACTGTGACGAATCCACCTCGTCGCTTAAAACATCCTCTAACTTTGCGCGCCACACACACATTCCTGTTATACTGTGTTTGTGAGGACCAATACACTCGCGCTGAGATCAGTAGCTCTATTAACTTAAAACACACAAGCTGTCCTGGTTACCTGCTGGCGTATTGAGGGTGCACACTTAATATTTCAGTGGGGTTAGCCGTGTGTGTGTGTGTGTGTGTGTGTGTGTGTGTGTGTGTGTGTGTGTGTGTGTGTGTGTGTGTGTGTGTGTGTGTGTGTGTGTGTGTGTGTGTGTGTGTGTGTGTGGGTATGTGGGGGGTGTGGGTGTGTACGTGTTTATGCTATGGGGACTTGTCATCTTCAGTCTGGCTGCGTCTTTGCTGGGTTCAAACCCAGTTTGGTGTAATTGAATAAGTCAATGAATCTGTGTAAAAGAATTAAGTTGTAAAAATTATTTGTTTTTGTACATCAATTGTTTGTGGAGGTAATATATGGACAAAACTGATTAATGAGAAGAAATCAGAAATAAGAGAGCCTGAGGTGAGGGGCTTAAACTATTTAATGAGGGCTGTGGGAAGAAGAGCGGCAATTTTTGTTTTCTGTTTCTTTGTTACGTTGCTGGTAACTGGAGGGAGGCTGAGGCCCAGAGTATCTAGTACATGTTTAGTTTCTTTTGCACCCTGTTTTGAGTTTTTGAGCTCAATAAATCACCAACACCGGTAACCCGACTGAGACTGGATTCTTGGAGGCCAAAGAACCCCGTCACAGTGACCCAAATCATCACTGTTACTGTTATTATATAGTAAATTAAATCATTACTGTTAAATTGTGTGTATTGTCCAATTGTTTATTTGAATTCTTATTCCGGGTTAGTTGGAGACATACACTAGGCTATATCAGCCCCACCAAAAATATTTTTCACCAGCCGCCACTGTTTCTTACCTACCCTCTTGTATATCAGCCTCTGGCTAGTCAGTTATTTTTGTAAATAATTGAGATAACCTCTCAAAAAAGCTTAAAAACAGCTAATTTTATTTTAAATTATCAACTATAGTCTTGAATTTAAACCAAATAAATGTAGTTCCCACTGAATCGGGGGTAACTTAGCTGAAAGATAAAAAATATGGCCCCAAATTAAACCACAAATGTAAGTAACTTATAGTTGATAGATTTAATAAAGGGCAGTGATAAACATATACATTAATGCAGGTAAAAGTCTTTAAGTGTCCCTAAGAGTAGGAATGATCCCCCAACATATGACATTAGCTAATGAAATACGAGTACTTATTGGTGGTACTTTCATCCTGCAGCATGAATAGATCAGAGCTAAATGGTACGAAATGGGAAGCAGAGAAATGACGTGGCCTCATTCTGATGTAAGCTAAAGGTGTTCCTCATCACTTAGTTTGAACCGATCACATGTCAAATTAAAGAATCACAAAAGGATCTGCAGTCTTGATCCACCTATTGAACAGCTACTGAAGATTAAACTAAATCAATATTGGTAACACGAGCAGTAACCAGAGGAAATGTTGAGAAACAATAACAATGTTATCATCTATGGAGAAATACAGCAAAAATTTAAGAAAATAAAAAACATGTGCAAGTAAAGCACAGGAAAAAAAGCAGAAAATAGACTTAGAGAAATTATCTACATTTCATCCCTGAAAAATAATCATCTAATGAAACAAAATAAGGAAGACGTATGAAAACATTAAAGTTTGCTTAAGCCTCTTTCCTCGTTTGTCTACTTTTCCTCCTCGCTCCATTTGCTTGCATTCTTTTACTCTTTCCTTTTTTTTTACCTATGAGCCAAGAACTAGACAAAAATACGACTAAATCTAGATAGGGACTCAGGAGTATAATTTTCATTATTTCTAAATAATTTCTCTGCTTTTTCACATCCGAAAGGAGGACTAGTGTAGGCAAGCTAATCAGTAGAGCATACCTTCCTTCAACACAGAGAACATTGTTAACCCATTCAGAGCAGATTATTAAATTGGCATTGAAAAAAAATTAAGTATGCTGGACATTATGCCCCTGCAGAACTAAAGGCTCATCACAAATCTTCCCTTCAACGGTAAGACTAGTGAAAAACCAGTGTTTTGTTACCTTACCAGCTATGACCAGCCGCTTTGATATCTTTAAAAATCACGTGGCGTTCCACAAGGGACCATCTTAGGGCCTGTTCTATTTAATCTCTCCATGCTGCTCCTCATTATAATAAAAAACAATCTAAGTTACTATAACTATGCAGATGACACACAGCTGTACATTACGATGTCACCAGATGACCAGGAGCCCATTCCTGCACTGCATAAATGTATAAAAAAATATGCCAAAAAAAGTTTTTACCTGAATAAAAACATATTTTTTTGGACCAAAGAAGGAGCTTAGACAGTTAGTGAAAAACTTTATTTATTAAACCCCTTTTTAGACCCAAAATCTGGGTATATTGATGGCCTCAGTCTTGATCCTTTAGAGACACAGAAAGACAGAAACAAAGCCCACCTTCTATCTCCTAAATAACTTCTCCAGGATTAAAAAGCTGCTGCTGCTCACATCCTCACTAAAACTAAGACGGTAGAGCTCATCACGCCAGTCCTACAGTTGCAGGTCTTTGAGAATAGACTTTAAAATACAGACTTTTTGCCAGTAAATTAATCTACAGACCTGTCAGTCCTTCTGACTCGTCTACTCTGCATATCGGGAACCAAAACCAAACATGGAGCAGATCTTAGTTCGTATCCCCGCTAATGCTGAAGCCTTAAGTTGTTTAAAAAAAAAAAAAAAAAAAAAAAAAAAAAAAAAGATTTAAAACCAACAGATGCCTGAATTATTAGGTTAACGTTTTGTATTTTTACCTTTCCTTATGTTCTGTTCATGTGAAGCACTTTGAAGCACCTTGTTACCGAAATGTGCAATACAAATAACCTTCCTTGCCTTGATAGGCTCTACATCTCAAAAAAAGGCATGTGAGCAAAATGGAGAGATTCTAGCTGAGCTGGATAAACTTTATGAGCATGGAATAAAATTAACACCTCTAAATATGGCAATAGAGACAGAAAACCATCTGTTTATTTTTCCTCAAACCAAATCTGATCCGTCAGAATATTAAGGTATCCACGTTTATTTTCCAGGAGAAAAAAAAAAAACTTCTAAGTAGTTAATAAAAATCATAATAGTATTGTGGAATCCTATATTTTATTTGTTATTGGTAGTTCCTGAACAGTTCAATAAACCCAAAATCTAACTTTTAAAACAACATAATCACTGAAGGCATATCAATTTAAATAAATAACATTTAAAACTTCAAAAATAAAACATGGGTTACTTAGAACGTAACAGCAATCAATTTTGAAGGAGCTTTTATTACTACCCAGGCATGGTAACCGATAAGAACAGAGGCGCGTGTGTGTGAGTGTGTGTTGCTGCTAAGTTAAGCGTGCCTAATGAGGTGAATGAGGAGAACGCTGAAAGAACACGGCGCTGAGAAGGGAAATCTGTGTAATTGTTTGAAATTAGCCTTCTGACATTGACAATAAGGAGCTTCTGGAGGGGCCTCCTTGTACCATGATAATGCTGTGTGACACGGTCGGGGCCCGGGTGGGAGGTCCAAATACCACACGGCCGATTAGAGGCCCCGACATGAAACAGACTAAGTCGAAGGATCCACCTCACAGGTTAAATCTCAGGGCATGGGAGAGGAACATCGAACCGTCAGGTTCTGATGATCCTTCCTTCTGTGCCAAGAAAAGGAGGGGAGAGGGAATTCAGACTAGCTCCAACATGCCCCCGCTAAAAAAGCACCACGGTTTTAGTGGCCGAGATGTGCAGTCACATGTTTCATTGGACAAAATGCTTCTGTAACATCTGTCACAGGTAGTGACAGGCTGGCTCATTGCTTGCTAATCACTTTAGTCCCTAAAGCTGCTTCAAAACACCTACTTTTCAACTTCACCTCTCACTGACAGCAAGAAACAGCCTCCTTATGTCCTCGCTCATCTTTTAAAACCTGCCAATAAATCATGTGGCGTCTCCAACAAATCGCCAGAGAAGATAAACACTGCTGATGACCGGCCGTGACTCTTCAAAAGGGTGGGATTATGTTCGCTTGGAAGGGAAGCCTAAACTTCTTCCATCTCTCAAGTGAATAGGCTGAGTGGAGATTCATTATCAACAACTGAATCTAAGGATATCAGGGGAACATTTGACAGCTTGTTCTGGTCAGTGATTAGGCATTATTTGATTGATTTCAGATATAGTTTGGGTCCATTCATGAAGAAAACTCCTCACATGTGAAGTTAATCAATATTCTAGTGAGCATCTTCAGCTCAAACCAGACTAATCAGTGCAGGGATTTATCTATAAACTAGTCTTTTCAGCTCTGGTGAATAGTAATATTACATATGAGAACTGCAGGATATATATACCAAAGTACGAAAGTAAGGATTGCAACAGCACAAAAAGAGTGTCAGAGAAACTCCTGGCCTGCCCTGATGTGATAAATCTATGTGTGTAAAGTGAGAAGAGGTATGGAATGCGTTCCAGCCTCTATAGAGAGAAATCACCAAAACACTGACATTTCTCCTCTGCAAACAAACTGCAACAGATCTCCTTGTTTCGTTGCCTTCTTAAAAGTCAAATATTTATCTGAGATACTTTTTGCATTTAATTAAAGTCATGATAAAGTGCATCTCTACAGGCTTTCTGCCACTGTTTCTTGGGTTACCACAGGATAAGTCTCTTTGTCCAGTTCATGCTCACCCCGTAAAAGCAGACGCCCAAACAAGTTATGGTCTCTGGCTGTTGTGTTGCAGTTCCAGCGGTGGTTACGGAACTGGTACTGGCACTCAGAGATCCAATCCTTCATCCCGGCCCCGATGGCCTGCATCACTTTGGGGTGCTGGCGGCAGAGTTGGCGCTGTTTGTTCACCAGGCCAGGGATGTTGTCGCACATCACCTGGGAGCCCAGAGTGCCCATGTACCTGCATGGTGGGGAAGGGGTGACAGCAGTAAGTTATACATTATAATTGTGTTACAGTTCTTTAATTGATTGATTGACTTTATTGATCTCACAGTGGAGAAATGTACTGGCTAAATCGGCTGAATAGTCAAAAAGAAGGTGCATGGGGGTATATGCAGTGCATCTACATTATATATATAAAAAGTATCTTACTTTACAGGATCATTATACAGGGTTATTGCACAGGGTTTTAAATTGGTATATATAGATGGGTATTTATATATATAGTTAATGCACTGGGTATCGAATATAAAAACAAGTTATTGCACAGGGTATTAAATAATAATTACACATTATACATTGCACAATTATTGCCAAATTGTAGAGTCTGGTGTTAGCAGGGGTGAATGACCTGCGGAAGAGCTCCTTTTTTCAAACAGGGTGTAAAAGTCTTTCACTAAGGAGATGCTCAGCTCCTCTACAGTCTGGTGCAGGGGATGAGCAGTGTTTATTTTTGGAAACAAGACAAATGTCTTTTAAAAGGGCAAATATTAGAACATTTTAACTAAGTATTGATTTATAAAAGTCAAATGGCAGAGGACACCTAATGCATTCCTGAAAAGTATCTATTAAATCTTCAGATGGATAACACTCGGCAACGTCTTAATTGTCAGGTGTTGGGCACCAGAACTAACCTAGCTTCAGTTTTACATGAAAAGGAACATTGTTTCATTAGTTTATTAATTTATGACTATTAAATATCATTGCTACATTTAAAAACAAGATTTGCTTTGGTTAAATGTAATGTAGCTGTTTTTATATGAAAAAGAACAGATGGGATTTTGGAACAGAAAGCAAAAATAAATGTTGATTTTTAATAGGATCAAGTGACTGAAAAACAAAACTTAAATCTATGACAATGCAAAAAAAAAAACAAAAAAAAAAAAAAACACCATGTTAGAAGTTTTTCAATCAGGGCAAATACTTTAATTTAATTATAATTTGAGTTTATTTAGATTACTGTCCAATAGTAATTATAATCATGAATATATGTTTCTTAACATGAAGCACTTCAGTAAACCAATAAATACATACAAATAAAGAGCAGTAATACTCACCACCAGGACGCATCGACCTTGGCAGAGAGCCAGCAGGTTGCTACAGACAGATACAAACATATTCCACTTGGCAAAAAGTTCATATTAACCAGAATTTGGTTCCTTATGGATCTGCATGGAGCATTTCCAAGGATGAAAGCAACATTTGAAAATATCTGGAAAAAGTCGGACACCAGAGAATCAAGGAATCAGTTCTGGTCAAACAGAAGGGAGAACTTTGGTGATCTGCGCGTAAAAACCATGCGTATCTGCCGGGTGCCTTATGGAGAGAGAGAGTCTTATAGCCCCACAGAGATCCTCATATAGGGGACAGGCAGGTGATGAGCTATCAGGTTTAAATAACTTTACGCGAGGGGTGGGCAGGCTGCCGTTTCAGGAATGAAGGGAAGAAATGAGATGTCTGAGAGAATCTGTTCAGGCTGGTTTGACACCAGACGGGTTTGGCTCTGATCCAGGCGCGCAGCTCCAACCAGTCCATGCGTCCTCAGCCAAACGGCGTTTGGAGGATTTTCATCCTACGCGGTTCTTCCTGAGAACCACATTAAACTGAGCGGACTTTTTTAAAATGACAAAATAACCCCATGATTTCTGTGTTCGGGTATTTCTGAGATGACGCACAGGTGTAACATTCTCCATTCCCAAAGAATGACGCGCCATTTATTTCAGGCAGCTGAGAAACACGGTAACTATTTGTTTTAAACTGAATTGTCCCACAGCAGCGCCTGAAGGCAGCGTGTCAATCCCAATCGGATTATTTATGGACGTCCTTTTGAAGTCCACCGAGGAAATCTGTAGCCGGTGTCACGCGGGATTTCCTCCAACTTTGATCCGGTCCGTGTGTGTGTGTGTGTGGACATCCTGGATCCCACACCAGGGCAGATTAATGGGGAACTTGGATTTCTCCCATGATCCCCGTGGATGAGGATATAAAAACATAAAACTTTGATAACCTTTATTGATCCACCATGTTTTTGTAGTAATTACCTTCATATATATATATAAAAAAAACATACCAAAGTTATTGTTCAATATAAATGTTTAATAAAGTTGAAATTATCTTTAAATAAAAACAGTAAGCAGTTTACATGGAATTATTTCCACCAATAACCAATTTGACCCATCAGATCCCTCATATAACTGATAATACTCTTTTAGGGCAGATTTATTTTATTTTTTTTTTGCAAACTATAATTCATTATTTGGTCAGAAATTAAAATAAAACTAAAAATTTAGATTTTAATTCTTACTTGATAAATGCCAGAAAACTACCAACTTCCCCCCCCTCCCCAGACCATTAACCATAATTATCAAGATGAACTCACTATAATGTACTTTCAAGTTCAAGAACTAAAAAAGTAAGCGACCTAAAGCAGGGGTTCCTAAATATATCACCATGTGATTCCCCCCAAAAAAATGCGACACAGAGGAAAACCCTAAATACAAGTAATTAATTTGCTTTATATTTATATATAAAAAATTTGTTTTGTATATCTTAAATTTGAACAACCACAATCATATTTAAAATATTTTACGTTTATATGTTCTGCATTTTACCATTTAATTGTATGTTTGTTTGAATCATCTAATATGAATAAATATTGAATGTATTCATTTCAAACGTTATTTTAAGGGACATTTATATTTTAATCTTGAACCTTCATATATATTGGGCATCACTTCAATGATTATGAAAACCATCTCATGATCCTCCCACTGCCACCTGTGGCCAAAACAGAACTGCAGCGCACTTTTTTTTTGGTACCATATGTGGAATTGCCATTGGTGCCCGAGTTGAGCTGGACGCTGGTCGCTTCGGAATATCCATAAAATCCATCTTGACACATTTGCTAGGTCGGACCCATTCTCCATGGTTGCGATTGACTTATAATCCGAACAGTGCGGAAACTTCCGACCGAAAGTAAATTAAGGAAAATCGGCTACAAGCTTATAGATGCATCTGCGTTGAATTTCTGAGGTGTCCGTCGGCTCATCACACAATGTTTATGTCGTACAGTGTCAGATAAAAAGTCTATTTGAAAGATTTTATAGTAAAAACTTACATAATGTCTCTTTCATAGACTGAACTGTTGAATACAAACAGGAAACAATGAGGTCAGCTTGTCCTCCTTGTCTCTAGTATTTGAAGTGATCACCTCCGTTATCCAACTTGGTATAAATATGATTGTCACAGATGTAGGGGGGAAAAAAAGACGCCATTATTTGAAACTGAAAATAAACCAATTCTTTTATTTGACAACAGAAAACATTACTTTCAGTTAACCTTCAGTCATGTACAGAATCAAAACAGTTATTTTAAAAATAAAAATAAAATTACAAGGGAAAAAATAACTATAAATTAAACTTCCCAAACATGACTAAAACTTAAACTTGTACGACTTAGAGCAGGCCAATCAAACAAAAAAAGGGCTTTAACTCCTTCACTGATGAAGATGTGGAGACATTCTTAGACATCTTCATGCAGCTCTTGATGCTTTGAAGTGTAGCAGGAAGAAAGCCGCGCCTAGCACACCCAGAGCTGCTCCTGTCACGGCCCATGTCCTCCAGATCTGGTGGGAACCAGGCTGAGGGAGCTGACAGCAATCCCTGGCTGCATCCATCTGGAGAAAGAAAGTAGGGCTGACATGGGAAACACAAACACACTGCGCCTTGATGCAACCACCAAAAATCCTGCACTGGAAAATTATTTCTGACCCCAGCAGGAAGCAGAGGACTTTTTTTCCCCCTTTAATCCCACCTGATTATGACACATGTAGGCCAGTTAGTGTCAGGCTCAACTGGGTGGGAAATTTCTGCGTTTGTACCAGTATGAGAAGAACAGAAGCTCATTTTGGGGATGAGGGCATGTCTGGGCCCACTGCCCCACGACTAACTAAACTGAGTCACCTAAGCTTCCTTTGCCAAATCCCTGAGGAGTCACAGTCAAGTCATGATGGTGAAATCTCAAATCAGAGGGTGAGAACCTCTCATGTGGCAAAGCTCTGTGTTGGGAGATGCTGTTTGGCTGTGAACCAACATTTCTTGAGATTGCTGGAAGTCTGACACAATATCCCCAGAGTATAAATTAAACCATCTAGTCTGCAGAGAGCAAAAGACCAGGGGGAAAAAAATCCTGTCTGTCTTTATATATGATGCATCCAGATTTATCCATAATGGATGTTAATTTTACTACAAATTTGTAAATGTGTTTCTAACAGTCCCCATGTGATCAGATCATGTGACTCAGACTTCATTTAACTCAATGTGCTGTTTTACTCAACCTTAAGGTCAGAACGATGCAGGCATAAAAACGATGAACTAGTCCTAACCAGGTTCTAATTTTGTGGTCTTTCCGTCAAAGGATATTGATACCACACATTCAACATTACACCTCCCTGAAAGCTTCACCTGGTGGTTTCCGAAGGGCTTGAGGAGGAAAACTGCAATCAATTGCATTTTGCTCTAGGGCAGTGGTTTTCGATAGGTGAGGCTCAACTCCCCTAGGGGGCGCCAAAGAGTCACAGGGAGAGGCATGAAGAGATACGATTTCAGTAAACATCTGCAGTAGGCTAATTGTTTGTGCTTCCTAATACTCCATCGTAAATCATTCTTTCTTGCGTGTATGAATAAGCAGGCCTGATTAAACTTTTTCTGATACAATAGAAATCAGCAGGAAGGGAGGACCCTGCTAAAAAAACGTAGGAAATATGATCCTCATTTTTTAAAATTAGGTTTCACATGGTCCGGTTCTGCCACAATGTGTGGTGTGCAAAGAGCTGTTAGCAAAAGACAGAATGTGACCATGCAAACTGCACTGTCATTTGGAAACAAAACACACAAGTTTAGTTAACAAGCCGATGGAGTTTTTTGAGAGGAAACTTGAATTGGGGTTACAAAAAGCTGTTTGTTTGGCACCACCAACATCAAGGCAACTGAGGCATCTTATCGAGCTGCTCTCCATATAGTGAAGGCAGGCGAGCCCAATACTGATGGTGAAACATTTCTGCTCCCTGCAGCTAGAGATGCATGTTCAGTGATGCTGGGAGAAGCAGCTGCTGCTAAACTGGACACAAACCCTAACCCTCTCGCAAAACATGTAGAAGACATGAACTGGCTAGCACTGTTGGCCTATCTGTCTGAAATTTGAGAGGATCAACTCCCTCAATATTTCTCCAGGGCAAAGAGTGCCACGTCTATGTGATTTTGTGACTTTGGATAGATCCAGCTGTCCCGGGAGTCGAGCCTCGTCTATACGGCACATGACAAAGTGTCCGGCTTCAAGAAGAAGCTGGATCTCTAGTGTGCTTTATATTGAAAGAGGCTCAGTTGAAACGTTCCCAACCTTGGAGGATGTGCTGGAGAAGACAGCGCGGAGGCTACACAATGTAAAATAAGTCATCAGCACACATCTGAACAGGCTCCGTGATCAGTTAGGAGTGTATTTTGGAGAGGAACAACTGGGAAATTTCCCAGTGGGTCCCTTCTTTTTCCTACCCACAGTCTGTGATGAATCGAGCATCTAAAGGAAGCAGCTCTCACTGAGCTCTGCTCCTATGTGGACTTAAAACAGAGACTGGTGGAAATGCCAATCCCCTTCACCTCTACTTATGTGAATGTGGGTTTTCTGCTCTCACCCTGATCAAAAGCCGGTCAAGGTTACAAGTGCAGGATGACTTGTGGCTGTTTCTGCTGTACAACCGTGCATCAAACAGCTTTGCGCATCAAAGGAGCGTCTCCATTGTTCACATTGACAATGCTTGAAAACATTGTTGTTAAAATAGCAACAGGTTTAAGTTGTGTATGATTAGCCTAAGAAGTTGACCAGAATATAGAATATGTTGACATCTGTTAAATTCAGGTCGTTTTTATTATTTCAGTTGATGCTTCTGTTGACATGAGTTCAGTTTATTATTGCCATCTGTTTAGTTCAGTTTGTCTGCTGTTAAAAACAATTGTTTCTGAATTTGCTCTGACAGCTCATTTTTAAAAGTAGGCCCTCTGTTCATGATGTTACAGTAAAAGTAGCCTCTAAGATAGAAATATTTGGATGGATATTTTATGAAAAGGCCAATTTCTTGAATGCACTTTGTTAAAAGAATAAAAAACTACAATAAAAAAAACAAAAAACAAACATGTATTGGGCGATCAGTTCTTGAAACACACCATTCCAGGAACACAAAAGAAAGATGCATTTAATGAAGAGACCTGTGTGGGTTAGGTTTGTGGTTGGGGGGGGGGGGGGGGGGGGGTTTGTTATCTTTAGAATTTGAAAACACCTGCTCAAGAGTATAGACAAGCGTGTAAACGTGACATCAAGCTAGAAAGACAATTATGCAATAAGAGGCAGAGATGAGTGGCCAAAATGCACAGCATGATGATGTTTGGAGAAAACCAAACAACACTTCAAATAATTATCCTGTGTGGTGCAGACCAGTCTTTGTGTTGCAAATTAAGGTCCTGGAAATTTTGGAGCTATTA